TCGATCAATCCACCGGATGTCCCTTTTCTTTTTTGATGCACACTATAGTAACCATAAACCATTAGAGCTACGTGTATTAGATCAAGAAAATCAACTTTTTTTACTCAAATTTGATAAAAATTTTACTAAACCGTTAGAGCACTAATTTTGATTTTTTTAAATAGAGCATTAATGACATGATAATGAAAAAAAATTAAGATCAAAACATCACTTCAAGTGAGACCCACTATCAATCCATTAAAACTGACTTTAAAATCCAAAAATTGGAGCTGCGAAATATTTTTCTAATTAATTAGGAAAATGTCTTAGACTACTCAGTAGTGGTGACTCTAATGATGTGACAGTGAACCTCACCCACTATCACAATAGGTTTATACCTTGATTTTGTTTTGTTTTGTTTTTTTTTTTAAATTGTCAAGTCACTAGTGATGAAGTTAGAGCATCTCCAACGGTGAATCAAAAATTTCACCAAATCTGAGTTAAAAAATGGCCATTTCCTAAATTTGATACTTCAGGCTCCAACGGTTCACCTTCACCAAATTTATCCCGGGACAACCGGGTGGTCGACCGGCCGGTTGACCGGTTAGGCAAAAAAAAATTTTTTTTTTTTTTTCACGAATTGTCTGAACTTTTTTTTAACTTTCTGAACTTTTTTCGGGACAACCGGGGGGGTCGACCGGCCGGTTGACCGGTTAGGCATCCTATCTTTTTTAGTCAAAAAGTGTTACTTAGTACATCCCAACGGTTTGAACTTTTTTTCCTGAACTGTTTGAATCTTTTACTGGTTGACCGGTTGGTCAACCGGCCGGGCAACCGGTTGGTCGACCGGTGTAGTATTTTCAACGGTCAGTAACAGTGATTTGGTAAAATCTGTGTCTTGATCTCAGTTTGATGTCTTGTTTGCTGAATTCTCATTTTGGTATGACTTTGGTGCAACCGTTGAAACGTGAAAAAATGGATTTTTCATCAAAATTTAAATCTGATGCTGGATTTGATTCAGCGTTGGAGAACGTTGGAGATGGTCTTAGTAATATTAAATTAGTGGTATAGTATTACTCAATTAATTAATGGGACCTTCACATCACGCCCCTACTGAGTTCTCTGTCTCTGCAATTGTGCAAAGCAAGCAGGTCAAGCCATCCATGGCAAACCTCTCAAAAAACCTTCTCTTCTCTCTCCCCCTCCTCCCCCTCCCTCCTCCTCCTCCCATCATCACCACCACTTCTCTTTCCCCTCTAACCTCCCCTCCTCCACCACCACCTTCCCTCCTCCGCCCAAAATCGCCTACTTCATCTCCGGCACCGACGACGACGGAGCTCGATTTTTCCGACTCCTAAAAGCCATTTACCACCCCAGAAACCACTACCTCTTGCATCTGGACGGTCGATCGTCCAAGGATCAGAGGGATGAGCTCGCTCGGCTGGTGGGTTCGGTGCCAGTGTTCGTTGATGCGGACAATGTGAATGTGATTGAGATGGCCAATTCGGTTAGAGAAGAACGGCCTTCGAGTCTCGCTTTGGTGCTTCACGGTGCGGCCATTTTGTTGAGGTCTAGGAGAGATTGGGCTGGTTTGTTAATCTCGGTGCCTCGGATTACCCTCTCATTTCTCAGGACGGTACGTACGTTTCACCTCTTCAATACCCCCCATTATATATACGGTCTGGCTTCCATACAGTCCCATATCGGACTGGAGGCACTGTTGGGCCATGGGGGCCATACGAGTTTTGTTTCGATAATTCGAACAGTTTAATTTGCGAGTACTATATGCCTTGATAATTCGAACAGTTTAATGCGCAGAACATATGCCTGTAAAAAATTATATTGATCGGATATTAATAATTACGTGATCAAATTAGTTTTGTATAAAAAAAATAGATAGTGAAAAAATAAACGGTAGTCAAAAATATGATCCGATGAAATAGTTATCGATATTAAATCAACGTGATTTTTTACAGGCACATATTACTTGACGAGTTGTATATATTGAACGATTCGAATTATCAAAACGGAACCCGTAGTGGCCCCCTATGGGTCCAACAGTATCTTCCAGTCAAATCCAAACCAATCTTGATTGGAGGGAAGCTAGTCCCTTATATATATATATATACGGTCCGGCTTGTCTCCAATTGGAGATCAAGATTGAACCGTCTAGTCCGGCCCGTAGGCTCACCTTTGGGCCCATGTCGATAATTCGAACTATTCAATGTGTAAAACTCGTCGAGTGTCTCACGTATTGATAACTATTTGATCAAATAGCTATCGATATCCGGTCAACGTGATTTTTTACAGGCATATAGTACTAACGAGTTTTGCACATTGAACGGTTTGAATTATCGACATGAGCCCACAAGTGAGCCCACAGGCTGGACTGGACGGTCCAATCTTGATTTGCAATTAGAGACAAGCTGGACCCATTGTCAAACTTGCTAGTTTACAGTTTTTAGTAGATTGTTTTGATTTAACCTTGATAAGATCAGTGTGTACTAGTTTTGCTCCAAAATGGGTAATTTATTTTATATTTTAGTGCTCAATGTAAAATTAGTTTTTTTTTAAATTTTTTTTTTTTTTGAATATTGTTGGAGCCTTAGAAGAGACCACTTTAAGGAATTTAGTGTCATAGTGCTTGTAATTAAAAGTTTTAGGTCGCCTTCCCTTATGAAGTGCGGTTTGTCCCAATAGCTATGAAGCATGGACATGGCAAAATGGGCGCCGTGGCGGTGTCGGACACGGGGACACGCCAATTTAATTATTTTTTTGTATGGGACATGCCGGGGACACGCTTGTCCAGATCCGGACACGACGTGAGACACGGCGAGGAGAGAGAGAGACAGAGGAGAGAGAGTGTGAAGGAAGAGAGTGAAAAGACAAACCTTCGACTCCAGTCGTTGAACATCCAGTTGACTCGAACCATCGATCTCACCATCGAACCATTGATCTCGTCTCGCATCGAACCATCGAACCATGTCTCGCTTGGGTCGTCTTCTCTATCGCGTCTCTGTCTGTCTCTCTCACTCTGTCTCTCTCTTTCTCTCGCCGTCTCTATCCCTTCGCTTTCTTTCTTATCTCTTATATATATAAGTATATATAAGATAATATTAATAAAATCATATTATTTTGTAAGTATATATAACATAATATATACTATTTATACACATAAATAAAAAAAAAACATGTATATAAAATAAAATAAAATAAAAAATTACCAAAAACACATTATTTAAAAAAGGAAATAAATAAATAAATAAAATAATTAACATATATTAAAATAAAAATAGTTATAAAAAAAATTTGCTGTGTCCCGTTTCCTTGTCCATACTTCTTAGCCCAATGGTAAGGCTCATCCTTGGTGACACTTGTTCGAGTCACAGAAACAACCGTTTCAGAAATGGAGTAAGGTTGTGTACATCTTGTCTTTTCTAGATCGTGCTTTTGCGGGGGTCTTGCTTTGGGTCGTTTTAGTCCATCTGTTGTTTATGGGCTTGTTGCAAAAGTAGGGAATAAGGGAACAAACCAGGCTGGGTAATTTAAAATTAGGCACAAAAAAAAAAAAAAAAAGAAAAAAAGAAAAAAAGAAAAAAAAAAGAAGTAGTAATCTTGCCCATGGGACCAACTTTTGTTTATTCTGAATGCTGACATGGTGTCAACATCAGACATCCATTGTGTCACCAAACATAAATTGGCACCTTTCATGTAAACACTAAGTGAGGGAAAAGCTTTATGCGGTAGGTAAGTTGGGAAAAGGGGAACAAACCAAGCTGGGTAATTTAAAATTAGGCACAAAAAAAAAAAAAAAAGAAAAAAAGAAAAAAAGAAAAAAAAAAGAAGTAGTAATCTTGCCCATGGGACCAACTTTTGTTTATTCTGGATGCTGACATGGTGTCAACATCAGACATCCATTGTGTCACCAAACATAAATTGGCACCTTTCATGTAAACACTAAGTGAGGGGGAAAAGCTTTATGCGGTAGGTGTTGAAAACCACACTTTAAGATACCTTATTTTATCTACTTCTTAAAATTAATACATCTGTACATTCCTTGGTGTATTCCAAAATGTCTTTTGCATTTGAAAGGTAAATGCATTCTCGACCGTGAAATAATTACAACCAACAACAAAGGATTGTGAGAATTTGTGCATTTAGTTGATCGAACACACATAAGTTTTATTAAATCAACTCTCTTATGTAAGTGAATGAATGAGTGCTTGCTTGTTTTCTCTTGATAAGGTCCTATCAGATTCCCAATGTGTGGGATGGAATTCCCAGCAAAGTTTTTTTCAAGATTTCAAGAATTTGTGATCATAAATGATTTTATGTGCAAATTGTTCAAGAGAACCATCTCTAGAAATTTGATCAAAGTCAACTGTCCAGTATGCGTTCATAGCTTATAGTTTTCCTGCTGCCTTGAAAATAATCAATTACGAAACTTGGAGAACAAGAAGTGAAAACTTTGCTGAAGGATTTAAAAAAGTTCCATTCACTGTCCAAAATATATCCAACAGAGATTCATTTACTGTTCTTTTATAAACTTCCTTAAAATGTATCCAAGGACATATCTGAAGAACCAAATAAGCAACTATAGCAGCAATAAATGAGCTTAATCTGGTTGGCCCTTTTAGATTAGTATTACTTTAGGTTGTATTGGAACACTCATTCCCAAATTTGCTAGCAGAAAAGAGATGTGAATAGGGGGAATCAAACACCTTGTTTGGTTCCAATTTTTGAACTTAAATTTTTTGAAAGTTGATTTTTTTTGTTTTTCGTGGTTTTTTTGTTTTTAGTGATTTTTTTCCCAATATTTTAAGAAATTTTTTTACTTTTTAGATACAACTAACCTAGATGTACCTGACAAGTTAAATATTTGTAAAATAAAAAAATAAAAAATTGATAAATACACAAGAATACTAAAATGTATTGGATTTTTGTATTTTTGGTATTTTAGTAAATTTTTTAAAAAAATTTCCACAAATATTATATTTTTTAAGTGTATTTATGTTAGGTGTTTTTAAAAACTAAAAAATTTGCGTAAACTATTAAAAAAATTCAGTGAAAACATAAAAACACAGAAAACAAGAAACTCAATTTTCTGAAAAGCGGAATCAAAATTCTGAAACCAAAAAGTTATTATGCTAGTAGTATAATCATCTCCTCCACAACTGCCAAGCCAAGTCTACTGTTAAAACTGGAACAAGTGTTCCAACTTTTAAATGAAACAAGCCATTCAAGTTCGTAAGCTTGTCTTGGTGAGAAGTTTATTTGAGTTTATTCAAGGGATTAATGAGCCAATCTCTCAAGAATATGTTTTGAAACTTTATTCCTGAAGAAGCCAAACTTGACAATCACAAACAAAAGTTTTTTAAGCTTTTGAATAATTAGTATTGGTGTCCTGCGGTTATAGTGATATAATCCCTCATTAATTGTAATTACAAGAACGGCTTCTGAGGCAATCATTGTTAAATAAATGAGTAATTATGAACAAGTTGTGTTGTGTGTTCAGTACAGAAAAGAAAAGAAATTAGGAGCACTAGACTTTTTGACTCGGAAATTATTGTTTACTGTGCTACTCAAGAAACTTGATTTGACTTGGGAAGAAGGGTTTTGAGTTTTGAAAATAAGAAATAGAGGGCTGGTGAAGTACATGCTAGTTGAGCTTGACTCAAACATGATCATATTGAGTTTGATAAAATATCTATCAAAGTTTTTAACTACTTAATATTCTGATTTATTACAGCCCTCAACTCCAACCATATTAAAACTGTGATATCTATCAATGCCAGTGCATCTGACCACTTTTCTGCTTCACCTCTGTTTTTGCCACAATTGTTGCTAGCGTGCTACTACTATATCACTATGTGACTGTCTCATGGAAAACTTACAAGGCCTTTAGTAGGTAACACATCATTTGTGCATTTCTATTCGTCCATGTTATGCAGTTCATGTTTTATCATGAATTTTTCTTTTTTTTGGGTGGGAGAAACCATCAATTCATGTAGCAACTTGTGCAGGTATTCTCATTTGAAACATCTTATTTGTGTGTTACATGCTAGTTCTTTTTCTTGTTCTGTATATATATGATCCTTTTTAGAGGTGCACACTATGGATTTTTTCATGTATATATGTATATATTATTCTTTGCCTGTTTGGGGGTTAATATATTTCAGTACTCATCTATTTACAGATTTTCTTCACGTCCTGTCCTTTGCACCAAGGGATTTTAACTTCTAGAGCATACGAGTAATACTAGCTGGAAGGAGTGAGTGCTATACTTTATCTAGGGCTTGTTTAAACATTTTTAGCTGCCCATGATTGGGAAGTGGATGCTGATTATAAGCTTGAATTCTGTGTCCAGGTATCAAAGAATTACGGAGGTAATTGTTGATCCTGGCCTATATCTCGTATCGAAAGGCAGAATGTTCACCGGCAACAAAAAACGCACCCTGCCCAATGCATACAGATTTTTCACCGGTACATTACTCGTAAATATTACCTTGTTAGCTTTAATATTTTGATGACACATTTACCAAGCATAAGAAAGTACTTGTAATTTAGGTTAAACTATTTCAAACTTCCTTCTTGTAGGAATAAATTAACTGCATGCACATGACCTAAATTTATCTTACCAAGCATAAGAAATTACTTGTTATTTAGGCAAAACTATCCCAAGCATCCTTCTTGTCGGAAGATATTAACTGCATGCACATAACCTGAATCCGTTCCAAATTTCTTGGTTGGTGAATCTTTTGATATGAGACCGTTGCGGGCTTTTTTGTTATGTACAAAACTCTGTGAGAAGTTCAAGTAATTAGCTTATGTTTGTGATCTTTGACTATCTTATTATTTTCTAGACACTTCTATTCCACTCTATGTTGACATGGAATCGGGTATGGTGGTTGGATGCGGGTATGTGTCTAAGTGTTCAAATCATCTAATTCGATATCAAAGGATACAAGGATACGGAAAAATATTTATATTTCTTATTTTTCGTCTATTTTCTAATGTAAAATGGTGTTCACAAGGTTCTATAGAGCATTTCATGCGAATTTTGAAATTTTTACATTTATGGTAAAACTTGGATTACTAAATATGTTTGTTGGGTGATTGTCTAACTACACATTTCAAACACATATCCCATACACTTGACACTAGGTGTCCGACACATGGTTACTTAGTGGTGGAGCCACATAATGATCAGAGGGGGTAGTTGTCCCTCCTGAAATTGTAAAATCCTACTATTCCATTTTGTTTCTTTCCGTCAACAATGGAATTTAATCACAGACCCACCTTGCTCTTGTAAATAAATTTGCCACTGCGTTATAGCGGTTATCTTAATAGTTTACTAAAGATAACTCATATTTCTTTTGTCTTCCTCGTCTCCCATTTGTGGAATATCATAAAATATATCCGTTATTTATTTACTGCATTCTTAATCGATATTCCCTTTATTTCATCAGGTTCTCCACCCCTGATTTTGAGCCGGAAGCTTGTTGAGTTTGCCATCCTCAGATGGGACAACCTACTGAGAAAACTCCTATTATTTTTCTCCAACATTAAATACTCACAAGGAGACTACTTTCAGACGCATGCTTGCAATTCCAAAGACTTCTCCAAAACTGTTGTCAACTCCAACTTGCGCTTTACTGTATATGATGATAATCCTCGAGACCTAAGCGTAACTGATTTGAAAAAGATGTTGAGCAGTGGAGCTGCATTTGCTGGGAATTTCCGTGCAAACGATCCAGTTTTGGACAAGATTGATTCTCTTCATAGGACTGCGGGTATGATATTACCAGGAGGTTGGTGTTTGGGTGGGCGAGGAAGGGGCTGAGATTTGGGGTGACATGAGTATTTTAAGATCGGGCCAGCATTTGAGAAACTTGAGAAGCTTCTTTCGAGTTTAATGCAGAACACTACTTTCCATTCCATTCAAACCAATGTGTTTTTAAAGGGTTGTAATTTGTTTCCATTTCTTGTAGCACGTTGAAAATATCGGGTAGATTATAGATGTAAGAAACTGTATGAGAGAGTTCAAGAATGTGGTCTAAAAATTCGAAGATCTTCGAAGAAAACTTAAATTCTCTATAAATGATGAGAGGTTTAGATTCTTCAACAGTCGCAACTAGAAACACAATAATGACAATGTTTTCTTATGGATCTCTCACTTTCACTCTCAAGGTAGAGAGAGAATAATGACAGTAGTTAGTCACACATAACCAATGATACCCAATCATGCCAAAAGATCAGGGGTAGTTTTAGAGAATGCCCTGCTGTAGAAGGGTCAGGAGTAGTTTAAGGCCTCGTTTGTTTTCAGAGATAGAAGGGAGGGGATTGATAGTGAGGGGATTGTTAGTGAGGGTCGTTTGTTTTCAGAGATAGAATGGAGAGGATTGATAGTGAGGGGATTAATAGTGAGGGGATTGTTAGTGAGAGGATTAATAGTGATGAATTATTAAATTATTTTTATATAAAGTAATAAAACAAATAAAAAAATATAAAAATTAAACATTAATATTTTAAAAAAAAATTCCAATATATAAAAAAAAAAAAAAATTTTTTTTTAATCCCCTCACTATTTTTCTAATACTATCTCTATCTCCTCACTATGAATCCCCTCCACAAAGGTATTAGTAATACCAAGGTATTAGTAGTACTCTCCCCATCTCTCAAAACAAATAAGGTATTAGTAATACCAAGGTATTAGTTAGTCTCAAAGTATTAGTAGTCCCAAGGCTATCTCTCAAAACAAACACCCCATATACTAGTATCAAGGTATTAGTAATCTTAATCCCTTTGCTATAACCTCAAACAAACGGGGCCTAAGAGAACATCCTGTCGCAAATATTGCTGAGTCTCAGGAACCTTCTAGATTGTGCCACCTCGACTTGGGTATAGGTTAGTTTAACTGAAGAGTGAATTTATCTCCACTAATCGTCATCGGGATCGGGTCTATTTGATAGTGATAACTGACATTAATTTCAACAGCAAAAATTTTAATTATTTTTTTTGAAAAAAAATTATGGCCAACATGGATCTTGTTTAATATTGGCGAGAGAGTTCTAAAATTTTTAATTTTATTAAAAACCAACACATACATCAAAAGTTAAATCATTTTAAAGTTTAAAATATTAAATTAGTCACTAAAGATATTTTGATAATAATGAAATGTATTGGATTTTTTAAGAATCTTTTTATATTTGTTCTTAATGTATGAAAGTTTTATTATGAAGAGGTTTTGACCAAATTCGCCTTTGAAATATTATTGGAACAATGCCACACTGAATAACTTCTTAATAATACCTAGATCCCAAAGTAATAATAATTAGAGCAACACTACAACCTCAAGAAAAAAAATTCAAAATTTATCCAGATTCAAATTGTGTGGATGAGATTCATTCTACGTGACTCACTACACAATTTTTTATCTAGACCGCACACTCATTTCTAGATAACCTTCATGGTTGATAAATTCGAGACAGTATATATACATATCATTAATTGTTACTAATTTTATTCGAAAATTATTTGGTGATTATGGAGCAAATATTTTTACCAATTAAAACAATAATTTTTTAGTACTTTTGCATTATATTTGAGAAATAACATCACATGTGTCATGTAATGAGTAGTGTAAAGTATTACTGCAAAATCACCAAAAAAACTTCTCATACTTTATTGTTTATTTTTTATTTTTTTTTGGGTACATCGGAAATGAAAACCAAAACAAACAGACAAAACAAACAAACAAAAAAGAGAGCTAAGAGTCCCTAGAACGGTGTCTGAGATAACTCTGACCAACCATATCCGCAACTAATTGACCTCGGATTTCTTCAGGAGGATCATCCATCACAACCAGCACTTCATTTTGATTTACCCCCATTTTAGTAAGACCATCAGCACTCATATTGCCCTCCCTCTTGACATGTTGAATCGAAAAGTCACATCTTCGAATGAGAAACTTGGAATCCTTCTCTAAACTTCTCAGAGGTGAAAAAACCTCAACGTTTCCCTTTAGCATATCAATAGCATATTGGGAATCTATCTCGATGCTAAGATCCTTATAGCCTTTCTCGGTGCTAACACTTTATTGTTTATGCATAGTCATATAGGTATTAGTGTCATTATCAATCGGTTAATACCCTGGTTGTCAAGAAAATGAAACAAAGGATTGTCAGTGATATATAATGTCTAGTCCTTTTCCTCGTTAATAATATAGAAATATTGCAATCATACCATTATTTTTTTTAATGATTTGCTGAGTTTCTTCACTTGTAATAGAGATCAGAAGAATTTGAGGATGTGTTTGAATTTTGAATTAATAAAAAAAATTTACTAAGATAATAGAAAAAAACAAGCAAATCAATTTGAAACTTTTTTTTTTCTCACTTTTTTCATTTCTTTTTCTTTTCCTTTACAAATCTACTAAATCTGAGATAATCTTGAATAAAATATCAACTACCAACTATTGTGAAATTATAAATTTCTACCCTTTCTCATTGGATTCATTCGATGTCATTTAATAATGTTTACCATTTACTATTTATTTAAGCATTAAAAAAAAAACAAATCTGTGATACAGATTTATTTTGAACATAAGCAAGTAAAAGTGACTAGAAGTAATGTCCAAAGGTGCTTTTCAACTGTCAGAATTGAATACAAATTAGCTACAAAATAATTATGAAATTCCAAATTCCTTTGCTTTCCCTCTATTTCCCATTCGATTCATTCAAAAATCTCTTTAGGCAACTTACGTGTAGGTTCTAATAAGTAAACTTATTATTGAATCGGTCCTATTATAATTAATGACATTTTTCATTAAACACTATTAAAAAATGTCACTAATTGTTAATTTTCAACGATAGTTTAAAAATTGTCACAAAAAATGCCACAAATTATAAGTTTTAGCAATAGTTTAAAAAAATCATCACAAAAAAAGTCACTAATTTGCAGCTTTAAGTGATAATTTGAAAAATTCATCACAGAAAAAAGTCACCAATTGTAAGTTTTAGCTACAGTTTATGAAAACTGTGACAAAAAAGTCACTAATTGTCAATTTTTCGTGACATATGTAAAAAATATCACAAAAAAATTATTTTTAACGACGATTTTATTAGGACTTATTTTCAATATGACTTAATGAAAATTAAGTCAAAATATTAGGATCTATTGATAATTTATTTCCCCCACATACCTTGATAATGATTTTGAATTCATAAGTGTCACCCAAATAATTAAGCTCCTTGTGGGGCCACATAATTAAGAATCTTGTCACACGTCTCTCTCTCTCTCTCACACATATATATATATATTGATATTGTTAGATGATATTTGAGAAATATTAGCAATTAGGATGATATTGAGAGATGTTGAACATTGTTAGCATCGCGAGAATGTTGTAGAAATTGGGAAATTGATTATTGAGAATGTATTTCATTGCATAGCTTTTGAATTACGTTTTATTATAGTTATGATCTTGGAAAATCAATTTATGGTTTTGAGAAACCTTCGAACTTGAATTATTTGGGATAAATATGTTTGGTAAGTTCGGATAGGCGGTGTAATTTGGTATTTGTTAAGTTGGCTTGAGGTCTTTGGTGAATGTAGGGATGGAAGAAAAATCGAAAAAATCAACCAATCCGATTGAACCAGACTGAAACAACTATATTTGGTCTGTTTTTTTAACAAGAATCGATCTGTGCGGTTTTTTTATTTGATTTTTTTTTTCTATTTTTGGTTCAGTATCGGTTCAAGCATCTTGTGCACCGAACTAAACCGAAATCGACCGTTTCAACATATATTGTATTTATAATATATATATATATATATATAAGATAATGATATTAATAAGTATAATAAATTATTAATCTCAATTAATTAACCTTATCATCTCTATAATTTAAGTTAGTAAACTCTTATTATATATAATCTTAATTCTAACTTATTATTCTTGAAACTTTGGTATTTATTATTTTTTTGTATTTTTGTTCATTTAGGAATTTGAAAGTATTTATTAAATAGATAGATTGAATATGTTTGAAGTGGTAGACAAATAACTAATTCAATTATTTTTATATAGATTGGTGACTATATTAAAAAATGGCTCAAGTTTAAAAAGTCATAAACTGATTAAATCGTACCAAATCAAACCCTTTCAATCGGTTCGGTTTGGTGCGGTTTGATAGGAGAAATGGTCTGTATTGGTGCTCAAAACAAGAAAACTGACATTATCAGTTCGGTGAAAAATTTCACCTAAATACTGACCGAACCGATTACATCCCTAGGTAAAAGTCCAGAAACCGCGCAATAAGTTCCAAATTTTCTTTCGGTTAAGAGCTGGTAAAGTAGCTATTGATAGTACTTGATATGCTTACTTGCAAACACCAGTGTAAGAATTATCTGAGTCGTATTTACTGCCCCGTATTTGTATTTCAAATTCATTGAAATGAAAGTGTTTTTAAAAAGAACATTGCATGTGATTTCAAAGGGATAAAATTCATGGTTTTGGAGCATGGCATGACATTGCATCCATATTATAAGGCAGCTTAAAATATGTACACTTTGTTAAGATCTTCCTACTGGGTTTTGTGTCCACCCCTAGTGGATTTGTATATGAAAAGATGTGGTGATTCCGCCGCAGTGAAGGCGAGTGCATGTTTTGAGAGCGCAAGGTTCTTGTGCTTTATTTGTTATGTTTTGACAAGCCAAGGGCTTAAATGTATGAGTTGTAAACCATTTACTTGTAATCAGGCCTTGGAACTTGTGGCCTGAGGGGCTTTATTTTGTATTTGTTCTATATTATTATTTGTCTTACATGCTATAGATTCATACTTGAGAGGAGATTGAATATATAATTGCATGTGGACTTCTTTTGTAAATCTCTTATATGTTATGAAATACAAATATAAAGACTTGATTAGTAAATGAGGATCAGAGTGTTATGAGTATTTAATTAAGAAGGATCTCACACACTCTCTCTCTCTCTCTCTCTCTCTCTCGCGTAATGGGGATCACCACCGGTGTTCTCACCAACCCTAC